CCATGATAACCATGAGAAAATCAATTCATGGGTTTCCTTTTCTTCCCTATATGGATATGGGGCTCCGCTTGGCGGCCCTTCGGGCCGCCGGAGCTCCGCTATAAAACAGGTCGATTCCATGTTGTCGTGCGTCTGTTCAATAAAAAAATCGCAGAAAAAGTCAAAATTTATTAATGTAGTAAGAACATTAGTGACTCGTTTGGCTATCACCTCGTGTGCCACCTTTTAGTTCTTACCACATTTCGACGGCATTTGTGATCAATTACTGAACAGACGCACGACAATATGGAATTTATTTGTTAAATATACCATTTGAATATCTCGGTTCTGTTTCGCTTATTACCAAAATTTCCGAACGTATTTTACAAAAGGTTAATTACAGATCAACATATAGTTTAGTCTTCTACATGATTATCACAAACTCCATATGGTTGAAATGAAAGTCACATAACTAGGCCACTATCATATTAAGAGATGATTAAAATTTAACTGAAGAAGGTTTAAAGGTAGAATTTTTCGTTCAGCTTGACTGAACTTCGTCAGCCAACAATAAAAAATTTACAGCTATTGTGTCTCTTCAAAGACTGTCGTTGATAAATGTTCCAGAAATTATTTTATGTTTTAATACCGATCCAGAGCAATACAACGATTTGGTTGAGTCGCAATATACCCATTCTGATACCCAAATACCGTCCTATGATAATACATACTGGCCTAGAAATTTCTTAAAGAGAACACCTGCATGTTAGAACTTTAATCCTATTTTGACTGAATAAGAATAATTAAACAGTAAAATCGACTGAGACCTAGAGGGTATGAAGTAAACCCAGGCAATGTGATAATTTTGACTAACAGCTGCTGAGAGATCTTACTCAAAGGCTACAGGCAACGTAAAAGTTATGACACGATCGAGTATCGACCTTTGGCTGCTATCGAGTGGCGACTTAGTGCAAACTAACTTAAACCAGCTCATGTAAATATTTTTTTAAACTTACTTCCCAGTAAATATTCTTTAACGTCATTTTCCTAAAAGTTAATTCCTTGGCGATTATATCCTGCTTGCCTTTCCGTTACAGTGTAGGATCGAGCTTTTTTCTGCATTCGCTATCTTCCAACGTCGAAACACAAATAGTTACTGAGTTTACATGTTCTCTGTTTGGCGATTAAGGTTCGAAAATGGAACTTCTCAATGATCTCAATCTCCCTGTATGATATTTTCAAGGAGGAGGTGATAATTAGACTTGTTACCTCTTTTAATTACGAAAAGTATAAATTGCCAAATAATATTAATAATTCCTAACTAACTGATGTGATATTATAAAGAAAATCTATACGCATCCATACCAAGGCCATAGTTTGGTCATCTTCGCAAACGGCTACTCCAACCAAAAAAGTGACAAATATTACGACAGTCAACATTGTTTTGACTTCGGCAGCAAGGTCTGGATAAAAGTGAGCATTCTAAAAACTGACTTTGTTATTTATACCAAAAAAGGGCCAGAAATTGCTCCATACAGTAAGAACAATAAAATACAATGTCTACTTTTGTGTAGGTTTGTATGAATATAACTTTTCAATTTACATGCGTAGTAGCTGTAGACTCAGGCTTCATAACATAATGCAGTTATCAGCCGGCTGAAAAAGTCTTGCCGTTTTCAGACGTCGTCAGATCAAGTCATATCGCAGCTATTCAAATAGGCGTTTTGTGTTACATTTTCGTTGGGTGTCGACATTTCTATGAGGCATATAAAAGACAAAACGTTTAAAAAACCTCATTTTGTGTTAAACTGAGGTTCCCTCCGCACTTCTTACACTTCACAACGAGGCTCTTTGACTGAAGTGCATTCACCTTGTTTGGTAAAATGCACTTGTTTACTTTCAAAGAATTCAACTTTTCTCTTTATTTAAATAAAACTGCCATTATATCTAACAATGGAGCATTCGATGTATTTGCACATTTCAATCCGGAAGATTTTCTATTTGTATTCTGAAACTTACTTTTTTTTTTCGCTTGAAGGGATCGTTTATTAATCGGCAAATAAAATATATATTATACCTTTTTAAAAATTTCAAATGACACGATATAATTTGTTCCACCAACAGAAATTTAACTTGCCGATAAAATTTTCACAAACAGATAAATTAAAGGTCAAAAAAAAAAAAATAGAGATTAAAATACCTCGTTTATATTCCGATTATCAAAATATCAGTTACCCTTGTCCGTGCCATGATCACGTTTACCACGCATTATCGCACGGAACGCAGTTTATTTCCGGCAAGCCATGTTCTTACTTTGCTGTCCGTGAACTTTACATTGCTCTTGTAAATCATGCTTTGCGCGCGCAACCTACGGATTACTCACTAATCTGCTAGCAGATTAGTGAGTAATCTGTAGGCTTTTAGCCAATGAGAAGACGGGTGGTGATTACAATGTATAATAATGGCTATAATTAGGTGCCTTTGCTTAATAACATTTTACACAAGGTCGTACAATAATATTCACCAATCGAAAATAAAATCTTATTTTCGTGCCACTGTGTGATATCCTTTATATACTTTATTGAACCTCGACCCATTAGGAGCTTTTCAGGACAATAATATCGACATAAATGTTTCACCAATAAGGGCTAAAATATTTAAAAAACTTAATTCATAAAATGTTCATATAGATTAAAGGATGCTAATAAAGTATAATCGTAAATAAAACTAAAAAAAGCTTGACAGCCCCATTGAAAAGTCATAAAACTGAAATCCACATTTTCATTAATCGCTTTCCCTTGAAATAACAAGCTATGACTGTAAGGTGTCCACCCAGTTACCGAGACTTCAGTCCATTTTCACAACCGTGATCTTGGTAGCTGGGATCAAATATTTCCCAAATCAGCACTATGACCCAGTTACCAGGACGAATTATTTTTTTGACAAAATGGCTTTCGCTATCACAGCAGTACAGGAAATATGCTTGTATGTATTTTCACCACAGAAGTATGCAAAATGCTCGCTAACAGTGGCGAATCTAGGGGACGGGCCGGTGGGGGGGGGGGGGCATTATTTTAGGTAAAAAAAAGAAGGAAGAAGAGACGGCAGGGCAAGCGGGTGTACACACACAAAAAATGGTCTGGATCCGCCACTGGCATTTGGGGTGTGTTTCTGAAGAGGTTTGAAAATAAATATAATACCAAACAAACAACAAGGTTTTTAAACCTGCAATAAACAACAGCACCGACATTTATTTTCCAGAATTTCATTAACTGTAAAGGTGATAAATTATTGTATTTCTATATACAAAGTCATCTGTAATATTGGTGTAAAATTTATGCTAATTAAACACTTTACATCAAGTAAGAACACCAAGCAATTCAGGCACTCTTTATACAAGCCCGGTTTAAAAGAATTCTCCTCACGGCTATTTCTTTTGTAAAAATTTTGAAACATTCATACGAGAGGGTGGGCCAACCAGGATACAGAGATCTCATTTTCTACCAGCAGGGTGCTGAAAATTCCCAAAAGAATTTCATGGAAATCTCGTAGTCCTACTTATCACTTTCTTCCACCAACCATCAAATCGCACTAGCCGCCATGCTTTTGATTTTTCTGCTGGGAAGTGCGCTCTTCCCAGTCCGAATGTCCATCACACGTTGCCCAAGAGCTCAAGGCACGCTTCGGCGCCCTTCTTGTTTTCGCGCCCTGCTACCAGTGAGATCTCAGCAACCGCGACGACAATTTTCGCATATGGACACTCCAGCCTGGTACCTGAGGCAAAATGTTTTTTTTTTTTTTTTTTACTTAACAGCTGGGCGGCCAAGATGGCTTAAGTTTGCCAAGTATGCATCTCCAATACAGAAGTACTTGAATACGCTTTTTTTAAAGTTAAAAAGATTGACAAAACTACGATAATCGCGAAAGGTTCAACTTTTTGTTGCCACATATTGGTTGTGTTTTTTTACTTTCATCACGATCGACCGGGCTGAAATTTGCCATATTAACAGACGAAAACATTTACCCCAGTCAACCAGGCTCATATGAAGAGACCCTCCGTAAGAATTAAAACCTGCAATTCGCAACAGCAGGGAATAATTTATTTTCTAAAATATATCTAGTAGTTTTAACGGCAAGTATTATAAGTAAATTCCCATGAAGATCAGGCTTTCATTTCTGCTACAAAATCATCAGAAGCCATATCATAAACTGCCTTGTACAACTTCCAAACAGGTATTTGGCACTTGGTATGTCTTTGTTTAAGTGAAACTCACTCCATGCCAAACTGTTTAACGCATCTGAATGGTTATTTCACTGCTGTTTAGAGAATTCTGAGTGTTTCATTCAAAATGAAGCTTCACATTTCTTCTCCCTTTTATCTTCTTACTATGCCTTAGACTTCACTACTTGCAGTTTTCTTTTAATTTAAGATTTCCGAGAAAAAGAAAAAAAAAAAAACTAAGCAAAGAAATAGAGACAGGGTATTTAAGGTTTTTAGGCTGTTTTAACGGCTGTTTTAGCAGCTCTTCCTATTATATCCTTGCAGAACTATCTGACAAAATACCAGTACATCGCAGCAAACAGATCATCAGGGAATCATAACGAAACCATGGCAATGGAGAATTTTCAGAAGTTCTTCGGTTTGCCGGTCACAGGTGAACTGGACGAGGACACGATGTACGAGATGACGAAACCGCGTTGTGGAGACCCGGATGTTGACATTAGCGGGGGGCGCCGAAAGAGATACTCGTTGACAGGAAGTAATGGCGGAAAACCTCTTTCAAGTATTATCTCGCTTACGGGAAGGATATGTCACACGCTGATCAAGCTAGAGTCATGAAAAGGGCTTTTGCATACTGGAGTTTCGCAGCACCACGCTTAAAGTTTACTAAGACTGACGATGTTAACCAAGCTGACTTCAAGATCAGGTTCGACGCTGGGTATTATTATTATTATTATTATTATTATTATTATTATTATTATTATTGTT